GTACAGTAGAGTGTGTGTGTGTGTGTGTGTGTGTGTGTGTGTGTGTGTGTGTGTTCACTGTAGGGCTGGGGATGGATCTCTGCCTTCTCTAAGAGCTGTCAAACACGTGTGGAGACTGAGAACACAATGATCAGAGATGGTCCGAGTGCACTGAATCACTTTCTCTTATGCATTGTGTTTAGAAAATCAAATAGCAGAAATACGTCCTATGCAAAGCCATATTGTTTATAAACAGCATAGTGTCTTTTTTACATAAGAACAGTATATATCCAGAGTGGAAAGTTGTATACAGTGTATATAATGTGCAAACAGTAATTATAATGTATGTGTATGCAGAGTGTATACTCTATGCAGACTTTCTGTATGCATTGAAAAGCATAGCCAAATGTTTGCTAAAATCTTAAACAACCTGTGCATATTGTACTGAATATTGTATCCCACAATTCTCATTGTTTTTATTCGTTTTTGGAATAAAAATGGTAAATAACTGTTTATGTTTCCAAAATCCCCATCAAAATCAATGGATTTGTTGGCTTCATTGACACAGTGTTAATTCTAGTGTAAAGGAACCTTGAAATATGCAACGTAACGAGATTGTGTGACTTTTGATTTCTGGATATTGTTGCATACTACTGTTTGAAATCTTTGCGTGATACCTATTATAGCGTAGGCAGTGTCTTGCATTAAACAGTATGCTTTTGAACAGTGGCAGTATGCTTTTGAGTGAGTGGCAGATTTTGGCTAGACTGGGGATCAATGCATACTGTAATCTATGAAGTAACACAGTAACGGCTTGTTTTTTTTTTTTTAAATGGTATCTCAAACAGAACATGTTTTGCAATAGCGAACATTTTAAACAGGACTACATTGTTGTCTTGTAACCAGACCTGCATTTTTAATTCAGCAAGTGGCATGTACAAATTAAAGTGTTGTTTTGCATTTTTAATCTAGTTTTGTGTAACATCTCTTTGCAGTCCAAATGAATCAAGAACAAGATATATCATAAAAAAGTCACAAATCAGAGCTGATATTAATTCCAGTTCAATTGTTCATGATTTGGATAGTCATTGTATTGTGGGATACAGTACTTGTTTGTAGTGATATTATTTTTTATTAAATACATTTTTTTTTTCGTACTACAGTATAGTAATATTTATTTTGTTTTATTTGATTTAAAAGTAATAATTATTAATAATAATAATAATAATTTAAAGCCATATAAAAAAATGTTAGAAAAAATTTAAAATTTTAAAATTAAAAACATCTCAAAAATTTTAAAAAGTTAAAAAAAATTCTTTCTCCCACAGATTTTCTCAGAATTGCAAATAATACTGTTTCGTTTTTTGTTAGTTAGTTAATTATTATTATAGCCATATTTATATATTATCAGAAGAGGAATAATAATTCTATATATTACAACATTTTGGCCAAATTGTGCAGCCCTACAAACAAGCACAGCAAACCTGTTTTTTTTTCTTCTTCACACTTTTAAATCACAATTAGTTTTTTTTCTCCCAGATCTTGCAGCCTAGTGTATAGTGCCTATAGCAGAATTAGTCAGTATGACTGAATGCAATTTTAAACACAGCCTATGTGGCACTTTTCTCATTTGCTCTCAGTTGTCGTTCCTTTGAGCTGTTTCCTGATCTGAAGTATCACATCATTGTCTTAGTTAGTTTAAATGTGCCTCTGGTGTTAGTGGTGGTGTAGTTAACCATCAGTTTACTGGATAATTAATTCCCGTGTCCCTGGCTGGTCATTCACTCTTTCTTGGATCCATTGCTTCATTCCACCCCAGGGTCTCTTTGAGGAATAACCATGATTGACCTAAATGGCTTTATGGGTGAGAGCGCTGGGTGCCTCATGAGGGCAAAGGCCACTGTAGTGATTAGTAGAGAGGTTAAATTTGTCCTTAAAGTATATGTGCACACTCTTAAAAATAAAGTTTCATTAAGAACCTTTAACATCCTTGGAACCTTTCCATTCCATATAGTGTACAAATTATTTTTTAGATTTTTAAAAATGTTCTTTACACTAAAAAAAAATTATGGAAGCCTGTTCCACTACAACAAAAAAAGGTAATTGCGACTTTTTATCTCATAATCCAGACTTTTTTCGCTGTTCTGTGTTTTTATCTCGTAATTCTGACTTTTTTTCTCTGAATTCTGTTCTTTTGGTTCTACCAGTTGCAACTGTGTCTCACAATTCTGACTTTATTTCTTGGAGCTTCAAATTTCTAACCTTAACATTTCACAATTCTTACTTTTTCCTCACAATTGTGAGTTTACAGTGAGTTTATATCTCACCATTCTGACGTCTATCGCGAAATTTGAGTGAATTGTGAAATATAAATTCAGAATTGTGAGAAAAAATTGAGAGTTATGAGGTAAAAATTTACAATTTCCTTTTTTTTAATCCTTTGGCAGAAACGAGCTTCCATAAAAAAACAGAGCTTTTAAGAACTGATCACTAAAAGGTTCTTTTGGGAAGCAAAAATGGTTCTTCTAAGGCCCCTCTTTTGGATCCTTTATTTTTAAGAGTACAGGTTGTGATCTGACAGATTTAGATCATTTGCTGCTCGTTCCCTCATTTTTTGAACCTCTGTTTCTCTATAGCTTCACTGCGCCTCATTCATATTCGCTTAAAGAGCCTAGTGTTGTCCTTGTGACGCCTGCAACTACGTATGCTCCCCCTCTCTCTCTTTCTCTCTCGATATGGTTCTCTCCCCCTCCCTCCTCATCTCCCTCCCTCGCTTTCTATCTATCTGTCTCTCCGCGTGCTTTTCTCTCATCGTGGATGCTGCAGCGGGAGAAACTGGGTCTTTCAGCTCCGCAGTATTGAGTCAAGCTTATATTACAAAACAGGAGGAGGAGAGGAAAAGAGGCGGCACGGACTGAAAGAAGACGATATGGATTTGTTTGAGATGCAAGCCGCTGCACAAACGGGGTGAGGAGTGTGTCTGGATCGCTCTGAGGAGGGGAGGGAAAAAACGCTAGTGTAACATCAATAATCACCGCTACTGGGCTCATTTCTCTCCTCGCTGTAACTCAGGCTCCAGACAGCTAATATTCTGTACCTTTTTGGGGATTTTCTTTGTTTTCTACTAAGATGCACAGCGCTTCTTGTGTGCACTGGATTTTATACAGTCATTTAAGGATTTAGTTTGGTCCACTGAGTTCTCCGCACATGTCTTGAATATTTCATCCAGTGCTGTTTTTGGACTGTACTTGCGTGTGTGTTCTGGCCAGCGTTGGGTTTTGTTGCACACCTGGGCCGCAGGTGAACATGTGGATTTGGGAACTTGACTGACAGATTCTTCACAAACTGATTCAGGTGGTAATTATAATAATATTTCAAAATATACCATTAGTTTACATATAATGTACTCATCAACTTTTTCCAATTATTATATTGCCATTTTTATATATTGCATCATGAAATATGTTTATGCATTTATTGATGTTATTGTATGTGAAGTGTATATTTTAGGTACTGTTGACCATTTACTGTTTTTCACTGTTTTAACCAACTTTTATTTTTTTTTGCAGTTCACCTAAATAGTCCTGCAGTGCGACGAAATATTTTTTTAAAGAACAAATGTTTGACTATATATTTATCACAAATAAACATGTATAATAAAGATGTTTAAAATAGTTTTTGATGAAGTAATGCATGTCACTGCTGTCACAGCACAACATTTACTTGACAACTACTGTAAAATATAATAAAAGATATATGATATAGTGTTTGAAGAGGAACGATAAAGTGATATTTTGTTTGGGATCACATTGGAAACTTTCTGTGGGTCATTTTTCATAATCTTTAGGGACAGACTTTAGTGTAAAAGTACTTTAATAGTGTTTTACTAAGGTTTTTTGTTGTTTTCTATATGCATTCTATAAGCAGTGTATCACAAATGTTATTGTTTATATGATCTGTTGTAAGAAAAATCTTTTAAAAAATATAGTTTAAAATACATATATGAAGTTCTTCGAAATGTAATGTGTTCATTTTATTTTATGTGGAATTTCAAGCAAAAGTTTATTTTTTATGAAATACATTTTTTTTTAATGTAATTTATTTAATCTAAATATATTGTGGTGAAAGTAAAAAGTAATAAGATTTTTCATTACACGCGCAAAGCTTTATTCATAGCCTAATTTTTAAACATGTTTGTTCGTTTGCTTTTTTGAGTCATGAATACCATTGTCTTCTTAATTCTGAAAGAGAGTCATTAATATTTTTTTTTTCTGTTTTATGATATTTTTGATACATGAAAAAATGGCATATGCATGTTGGTATGCCACACAGACTCTGATACTAATATAATGATAATTAAATATCATTAAAATTAAATGTAAAACATTTATCATAGAAGATGTGTATTCAAGTTATGTATGCTTATGTCAGCTTATATCTTTTTTTAAATAAATGAATAGGTGTGAAAATCATATCACAGACCACAGGATCGCACAATTTTTCTTAGACATGAGATTTGAGTGGGACTCCTAACATGTGTGTTGATGTGTGTTTCACAGATTGGAGATTGGGTGGCAGAAAAGATGCTAATGGCTGGCGACACCTCCCGCGACGAGACTCAGAAGCTTCATAAGAAGTGGCTAAAACACCAGACCTTTATGGCAGAACTTGCTCAGAACAAGGAGTGGCTGGACAAGATGGAAAAAGTAAGTTCTCAGGGTTATGCTGTGCTCACTATCTTGGTTAATAGTAGTTAATACTCTTAATATAAAAGCATTTTCTCCGTCAGATAATTAAGTGTGTGCAAATGCTCGGTGCCATTCTTCACTTGGCTTGAAAAATGCTGTTAGGCACCTTGAAATGAAAACACGACTTCTCTGTTGACTCATATTCTATTATAGTCAACGACTCGTGTGAAACAGAGCCAGTAATCAGAGATGGCATAGCATTTAACAAGGGCAAATCCGCTTAGTGTATCATTTACATATAGAAGTGCACACACACTTTCTATATTGTTTTGCATAGTAATTATTTTTTGTCATATTTATGGGGTTGTATGGATTATACACATTATCGTCTGATGCCACTAAATATCCCAATACTCTGTCCTGCATTGTTTGTGCATGAATTGTTCCTCAGATTGCCCAGCTTGTTGAGAAGAGTCAAGCAGCTATATTACATCGCATTGCATTACATTATATTATATTATAGCTACTGTAACTGAAAGTGTTTCTGAAGTGAATTTTGGATAGATGTAAAAAGCCCTGGTGCTTGTAGCACACTGATGTCCGATTGAAAGACTGATGTTGTTTAATCTGTCAGTTACACTGTTTTATTGACATTGCTGTTGGATTGAATGGACTGTCTTCAGCTGCCAAGGCCCCCAACCTCCTCGTCTTGAATGATCATCTCGCAAAATCCATTAATCATTTTATTCTGTGGTCAGCTGCAATAACAGAGGACGAGTGATGTTGCTGAATACTGTTGTTGTGTATGGTTTGACAAGGTTGTGTGTTTGATGTATTCTGGATATGCCAAGATCTTCTGATTTTATGTTCACATTTTAATGAATGTGAACTGTATTTTGGGGTCAGTAAGTGTGAGTTACCAGGAACAAATTAGACGCCTTTACTCATATTAGTTCGAATATGTGTATGAATCTGACAGGACAGATAATATGGGTTTGTGACAGGGTCGGTGAAATAAAACAATATATATACATTTTAAAATGTTATATTCATATGTATATTTTCTTGGTTAAATTAGAGTTTATTCATTGAAATACAGAGTTTGAACTGATCTACAGAAAGGATTTACATTTATTCAAGATTAGTTCACCCAAAAATGAAAATTTGCTGTCCAAGGTGTGAGTTTGTTTCTTTGTGGAAACAGATTTGGAGAAATTTAGCTTTACATCACTTGCTCAGCAATGGATGCTCTGCAGTGAATGGGTGCCGTCAGAACGAGAGTCCAAACAGCTGATAAAAACATCACAATAATCCACAAGTAATCCACACCACTCCAGTCCATCAATTAATATCTTGTGAAGTGAAACGCTGCGTGTTTAAGAAACAAATCCATCAAGACGTTTTAACTTTTAACCATCGCTTTTGACCACAATATGAGTACATAATCCATAATAACGCTTTTTCCAGTGAAAAAGCCCACCCCCTGTTGTCCTCTCACATCAAAATCCACCAACATATTTGTTTAGAGCTGTTTTGGACTGTTTTCACTTGTAAATGGTGCTTGATCTGTTCATATTTCCCTTCTGATTCATACAAGAAGACCTCTTATTGTAGTTGAAAGCAATGTTTTGAACATTTTGAAGTCTTAATGATGGATTTGTTTGTTACAAACACACAGCTTTTCACTTCACAAGCCACTAATTCATAGACTGGATTACTTGTGGATTATTGTGATGTTTTGATCAGCTGTTTGGACTCTCATTCTGACGGCACCCATTCACTGCTGAGCATCCATTGCTGAGGAAGTGATGGAATGCTACCTTTCCCCAAATCTGTTAGGACGAAGAAACAAACTCATCTACATCTTGGATGGACCGAGGGTTAGTATACTTAAACAAATTTTCATTTTTGAGTGAACTATTCCTTTAATGCCTATTTTTGCAACTGAAGCCTAAATTAAAGTCGCTATTAATATCTGGCCTACCGAGACAGCTCCAAAACGAATGACACAAAGTAATCACGAAATTCAAGTTGGTTATACATGCTGCTTGTTTGATATTACCAGCATAATCATCTAGAATATTACGTAAATGCTTGATAGTGTGTGATAGCATGTGAGGACTGTGTGTGTGTGCAGATTTCTCTTGACCTAGTATTTCCCATAGACAGCTGAATGCTGGGGCCTAGTGCTGGGCGGTATGACCAAACATTTATATCACGGTATTTTTCAAAATTATACCGGTTTCACGGTACATGACGGCATTTTTTTTCCATGCATGACCGGGTGTTAACCATATTTTCTACTGATTGAGAGAGGAAATACTGCAGTATATTGACTTAGAATGCCCTATTTTACTGTCATGATGAGTGAATATTGTCAAAAAATACCACACTAAATTGTGACTAAACACGACCCCTTTTAATACATGTTAACCAGGAGTCACTCTCATTTATAATCGCGGCATCGTCTGATAAAATCAACATGCATCTACACTAAAGAGCGGCTATGCGGTTGTTTTGGCTATATAACTTTTTTGTCTCATGCAGCGCACTGCCTGCGTCTGTGTAACAAACTAAAAAAAAACAACAAACAAAAAAGTGTGTCTAACACAGTGTCGCGTTCTGAATGTTGGTTAAGCGACATACACCGGTATTCGATATTTTAAAAATTCATATCATAACAAAAATAAACACCGGTATGCGGTATGAACCGGCATACCGCCCAGCACTACTGGGGCCCATTTCATTTCTCTGTCATATAACCTTAAACTAGTTACCAGGAATAGAAATATGCTGAACTGTGCTGGCTACATATTTATAACAGCACCCTGGATTCATGTACCGCGCTCTTATTTTCTGCTGAATTTGGCCCGTTTGGACAGCTTTGCCTTGCAAAGCTAAAATAAATGCTTTACACGTTCACCGTGTTCACAGGTGTATTCACAAGGGTCAAATCGATCTTTGTTTGGACAGTTTTTTCTTTCTAGAACCCCAAAGTTACTTGGTCCTACTGTTCAGCAAACCCGAAGTGTTAATTTGTCAAAATTTGTATTTGCTCTGGTCATGTCCAGTGTCTTGTCCAGTGTCAATGTCATCTGCCATGCATAAAATGTACTTTGACATGCTGCAAGCTGTTTTTAGCATTAAAATGGCTTTGCTCATGTGCATCTCTCAATCACATGCAGCTGCTATGTCAGGCTCTTTCTGAATATGTGGTCAAAAATGATGCCTAGTTTGCTAGGTTAAGGGAAAAAACGGCTTACCTACCCTATATGTACCCCTATATATACACAAAATACAGTTTGTAAGGAATTTAAGCATTTTAGGCCATTTTTAAGGGCATCAATTGCAAAGCAAAAGGTGCTTGGTGCACAGATGCATTGAAATGCATCACTGAAAGGTTACATTTATTGAGTGTTACAATTATGCCTGCTTTCTAATATCATATAGTATCATGAAAATGGAACATATATTATGCTATGGTCTGTCCTCATGAATTTGGTGGAGTTTGACCTTTTTTTAATGGTCAGTCATGTTGATGCCTTTGAATTGGGATACTTAGAGAAGTCGCTTTGGTTGAGTTTCCATTATCTGCAATTCTTTTCCGATTCATACTGTATACAGTTATTTTTATTTTATTTTAGTTTGAGTTGATGATATTGAGTGAACATAACTAGATATAACTGCCACTGGGGCGTCTGCAGATCGTACCAAAACGTTTGAATCAGATCGTACAGATTCATTCGAATTAGCCACCAATTCGCCAAAACATAATAACATTGTTATGCAGCAGTATATTCTTTACATGCTCATATAGTAAGAGCTTCTGTTCATTAATCTGTATTTTCCAGTAAACAGCGTTATGCAGCACCTCACCCTTGCAATGGACACTTGCGTTATAATTACAACATGCTGTTTTGACTAGTTCTGATCCAATGTCACTAACCCAGCAGCTGTCAGATGGAGCAGTCATGCCAAATCAAGTGAAGGGGAGGAGAGTATGTTTCTGTTGCTAGGTGCTGCTTTCCTCATCCCCCCCCCCAACCCCAGATCTCCCATGTGTGAAGGTCATTTGTGCTGCCTCCTCTTCACACATCCATGTATGTAGCTCACAGGAAGTGATGAGTTGCACTTCCAGGTCAGCATGAACCGGAACAATGCAATGCATGATTTGGTTTAGGTGCAGTGGTAGCATATAAATGCCAGAAAACGAAACTAACACTTTTTATTTTATTTTATACATTTCTTTAATTTTATGCATATATATATATATATATACACAGCAGGGTAAAATAAATATTGAACACGTCACCATTTTTCTCAGTAAATATATTTCTAAAGGTGCTGTTGACATGAAATTTTCACCAGATGCAGTTCACCAGACTGCAAAGTAAATGTATAAAGTAATACTGCAATAATGATTCTTATTTATTTATTTTTTTAAATGGGGCATTTTTTCTTTACCCAAACACATAAAATGGCATGTTTATCACAGAAGAAAATTAAACGGTCTCATTATGTAATTGAGATTTATCTAACAAACATGTTCAATTAACACCACACAATTACCTGGACTGCTTTGTTTTAAAGCCTGTGGGAAGATTTGTGAATGTGATCTGTATCTCTCTTTACACCCTTCTCCTCCGTGCTTTCTTTGCTGCCTCTTGTGTTCTTGTCTCTAATATTGAGCATATACTGTATAAATGGGTCAAAAAAACATTTGTTGTTTTTTAACATTAGAATGTGTCCTGTTAAATTTGTCATTTTTCTGATCAAATAATGACTTTCATACATTTTTACTATGATTTACAGAGAAAAAAATTATTCAGTGTAACAATGGTTTGTATATATATTTATTTATATATATATATATATATACAAAAATCCTGTCAGCCATATTTATAACCAGAATCGTTACACATTAATAGACTCACTCTTGTTTAAGGATCAGTGCAGCCCCCAGAAACTAATTATCATTTTGAATCTCACCACTAGGTTTTACCCATTTGTCAGCAAGA